GTAGTACACATGTTTCTCTCAAGAACTAATTGAAAGGATCATTCATTTTAACAAAGCTTGGATGGTCCTGGACAACAAAACTACATGACTACTAGCTACCTGTCCCTATATATTCCTGCTGAACTTTTGTGACTACAAGACAATCCAGGATTGTTCCCAATGACCTGATGAATGAATCATGAAAGGCTGATATGGTATTTCTTCATCAATGTAAGAATTGAATATGATCATTGAATCAATAGTTCGGATACCAGAAGCTAAAAAAACATTGTTTTTTACTGTGAAAGGACCATAAGCAATATGCAAAGATGGCTCAGTCAAAATTCTAGTAGACCTATAAGAATGGATGAATGCTAACGGAGATGCCATTGCCAAGGTTGATTCAATGTACCATTGACTAGAGAGCCAAACCTAAGATTTCCTGAAGTCCACTACCAGCAATCATCCAATTCCTTCAGTCTGTCATTGACAACCCAGCTGTTCATTTTTCTTGGAATATGACTGAAAACAATCCCCCTCATCTTAAGGTTAATGTAAATTGTTGCTAAGTTGTGCAGAATACGTGAAACTGAAATATTTATAATAAGAAATACTTTATGATTTTCTTTCTCCTACTACAATGAAAGGAAGAAACAAAAAGAAAATGCTAGTGCTATGAAACTTTTACTTGGAGGTGGAGATCATGGTAAGCTAAATTATGGTCACAGGCTTAATCCTTGAACTCAAAATATGTTCAATAAGAAAAGTCTGCCCTTCACTAGAGAAACTTTTTCCAGCACATGATGGAGCTGTTCAAACTTAGTTGTGATGATTAATAAAGACAACAAAAATACAGAAAATCACAAGAGAAGATTTTGCAATGGCAAAAAGATGGGAGAGGAAATTCACATCCTTCGCATGAACATATTTTTATTAAATTGCAAGGAAATAGAATTATTGAATTACATTGTGTTTTTTATACAAATGTACCTTACTAGACAAAATTCTGAAATTACAATCATGTCACTCGAAAGCCCAGTAAGGTTGTTCCTAATCTATACAGAGTTCACATACCCTGGAAGCTGCTCCAAAGAACCTGTAGTTCAATTAATTACTTTTGGTAATAACAAGAAGGGACCAAGTTGATAGACAATGAACACGAAAGAATACAAATCAGAATAAAAACCAAAGAACTTGGGATATTAAATTGAGATTAATAAGAACATAATCCTCTACTTCCAATCACTTTTACCTAAAAGCAGCTTGTTGTTCTTCCAGTTTACCCCCAAAATCATCTCACAAGTGGAATGAGCAAGTACTCCGCATAAAACAGCTGAAGACAAAAAGTACACGTGTCATTGAACTGCAGAAACTCGATGGTGATGGTTTAGATCTAAAGCATCATGAGAAACACCTTTTCTAATGCAATTCATCTATTCCAAAATCTCTACCAATAAAAAATTCTAAATTCATGTCACATAACAGTTCCCATACATCTAATAGTTTACCTTCCAAATAAACATGTAAAAAGATGTTATTGCAGCTTTATTCATGAGGTCAAGAGTTCTAGCACGATTCCAGAGGATTGAAGCAAGGATGGCATGGCCCAAAATCTGCAAAGGACAGCATTCCTATTAACTAAAATAAAAATTTTCAAGCAGACCTTTACGTTCATTAGAACCCAGAAGTGACCAGTGTCTGCTGTTATCATTACCGCATATCCCTTCTTTATCTTGGGGATGTGCATGTGTGAAGCAAAAGAAAATTGAATTACCATTTGCAAGATGCAATCAAAAGAACAATAACAGTCCTGCCCATATGCTAGCATTTACAGTCAGAATGTCAGCAACGTTCAGAAACAATATCATAAAAGATTGCAAATTCCATTTTTTTCCTTAAAAGGAATAATAGTTAGCTCTTTTTTATTGATGATTGCAGGAAGAATAATGCAAGAGATTGTCCATTTAAATAGCTATCTTGGAGGATAATCTGATTATTTCAATTTAAATATAACTTATTTGATAGAATTGGGATTAACCAGTTGTATCGTCTTTTTTTTAATACCTGAAACTTAATTTGAACAAAATTGAAGCTAAACCAATTATGAAGAATAAAAGTTGGTCACATACAGTTATAAACTTGCTCCATAGGCAGGAAGAAGTGGCTCCAATGGCCACGGCAACACTGTATGCCATCTCAAGGAGATAGACACAAATCCAAAACACCTGCTCAAAAACAATGTCATCAGGATAATGAACAAGATAATCTAAAATTAAAGGACCGATCAGTATTCTTTCATAGGATACCCGTCTTTGACCCAGACGAACACTGAAAGACCGAATGCCAAATATACGATCACCTTCAATATCAGGTATATCCTGCATAAGATCAGTAGTACACTCAAGAAATGGACTGTTCTAAGTTCTAACAGTATTTGAAGGTAATTACATTAGAAGTTCCATCTAGGTTTGCCAATGAAAATTAATGATCAACAATAATCAAGAGCATATATTTTTTTGTAACATTTATCTGTTATAGCATGTTGCACGGAGAGCATGCGGTAATCCTGGGAAACAGATGGTCCACCAGCTCCTTATCCTCTGACTTTTTTAAATAGCCTTTACATTAAATATACAATAGTTGACAGCAAGCAGAAACAATTTTTTCATATTCAGTTTCAGAGGTTAACCCAAGTGGTCTCCTATATGATATCAGAATAACAAATTCTTTTTACTGTGTATTAGTCATGCCTTATGGTACATTATATTGCTTCACTTAAATTTGACATTAGTCCATGGCATATTGCTGTGGTTGTTGATGAGAAGCTGAAAATTTTGACTTCAGCAAAGATATTCTCAGTAAGATGCCACAAGCAGCTCAAGCTGCATTTTGTTGGAGTTATATCATACTTGGTAAAACTTGTTCAACTCATCTTCATCTAAAAAACCTAAAATTTATAATTGATATTGTGTGCCTCCATTTCTTTCAATAATTTTAGTGTACTAGGATGCCACTGCTCAGGCAACCATTATAAACATCTCAACTTTACTAGTAAAGTTGATATATACACGATCACAATCTGGAGCATTTATCTAAAGATACCATAAAAAATGTATTAGAGGTTACCAAAAGAAGTTTCATATTTTCACATTTATCTGAATTACCATGAAAAGTACATGTTTAAATGCCTTCCGAAGGTACATTCAGATCTAAATGCACATATGATTTTCTGATTCAGTTAGAGAAGAGAGCATGGGTGTATGTAGCAGGAGAGAGCTTCCTCAGATGTAAATGCACATATGATCTTTTATAGTGTAACTTACAAATGAAACTATTACCAAAATACTGGCACTCGTCCAAATTCAAAAAACTTCAGCCACTCAAACTTGTAATTACCTTGAACAGTGCAATAACAACAGAGAAGAAGCTCATGAATGCAGTTGCAAATATCAGCGGCCTGGAAAGATTGGCTGATCTTCCGAAAACAAACGTCTGGAACATTTATCAAGATCCAGTATACATCAACAAGATGAAATAAGTGCTGAACCTTTTGACAGTGAAAAGACATAACACCACTAAGAAGTAAAGGATCAACATGTATAAACATGCCCAGATTATATGCATGATAGTTTATGCAAAAAATGCCAAAAGAAGCTATTGATGCCTACCTGCATGTGAAGGAAAAATGCCAGTTGAACAACCACAGCACGCACTGCCAGAATGCAGAGTGCTGCAATAACAGCAAATCTCTTCCATCTTAAAAAAGGCAGCTGTAACAATCAGAATCAAGACCATCAAGGAAAAAAAATAACTATATCATTAGCAAACACCATGTATCTGTCTTGCACATTCAAACTTTAAGAAGTAATGCCATAATGTTTCTTAACCAGCAAGAATCAATCCCATTAGAAACATTGTGCATTCGGAGTTTGCCCTCAATCATTCATTGTGCTTGTGAATCTATTTGTGCAAAAGAGTATACAATCATGCATTAAGCATAAATTAGTTGCATAATTACAAAAACATGAAGTATGAGAAACATAATAATGAGAAGAGCTATCATACATAATACAAAACCTTCTTTAAAAAAAGCAGTAAGCTCCACCTGATCCCTGGCATAAAATAAAGCATGCCAAAAGTGAGAAATAAAAATAAAGATTTAGCCACAAAATGCAACCTTTCTATAGAGTCAAACCAGAACCAAAAGTTATATTTTAGAATCCAAGTACTGATACATACAACTTTTGGTAAAAGACTCTTAGGTTCAAGTTGGAAAACTGACCAAACTGATGGGTCGAGGTTCACTTCATGTGAGGCTAATTCACCTGACTAGTAGTTGCCCTTATCACATAATGGTAAAAAATTGTCTGGCAACTCACTAAAGACTATTTTATATGGTCAAATTGATAAGAGCATTTTTTCGACTGAATTTGTCTAAGAGGGTGCCCAGTTGTTCGGATGACCACACATTTGTTTGTCCAATGTCAAATTACCTTGTGAAGACTATCACTGAGAACTCCTGAACTTCAAATAATCTTTGAAAGTCAACTTCCCTATGTAGATCATTCAAATGACAAAAACTGCAAATCCTATTGTTCATATTCACATTTTTGGCCTCTGAAGAACCCAGAGGTCCACTATGTTTCCCAATCTCATTCTCAGTCTTCATTCCTCTGAAGCCACTTTTCCTCTGACTTCCACTGAGATTATTGGAGACAACACTCCTCATGCCCTCGTTGCCCATTTTATGTTTCCATTTACTCAACCTTATCAAGTTTCACATGCTTGATAGAATCCTTTTGCTTTAGCACCCTCCTGATTTATTTAGTCAGGAGTAACATTTGCACATGTTGATGTGTCAGTCTGTGCCAGCATGCATCTACTATGCCAATACCAACACAAATCACATTCCATTGGCAGTTCCACGCACATATGCTAACATGATAGCTATTACAGGGCATGAACAGCACGTCGAGTCACAGTCAGAGCCACATAATGGAAATTGACTATCTCGTCAGGCCACCATAGAATGTAGATATACACAACAAAGTTTGGACAACAGACTTCCGAAAAGAAAAGGAAGCAAAGACAGTGATCTGTCCCATACTTCATTCATAAGTGTCATTTCTCAAATAGCCAAATTTATTACATATGCAAAATAATAATAATAATAATATAATAATAATGAATAAACAATATATTCAGTTCCAAAAGGATTTGCCTCTTGTAAGGACACAGTGTAGGATGAGAAAGAAGGATTTATTAACTACATACACTGATATGAAACGAAGAGGTTAAACGTGACCTAGGGAGCCTATGATCTACTACAAATTGTTTCGGGCCATATTTTTACAGGCATGAATAACTGACAAGTTGCAAGAAGTCTTTTCTTTCTATAATAGGCATGTAAAGAAGCTACATGATTTCAAAAAATTCTATTTCCTAAGATTGCAGGGGAAATCAAAAAGATAAAATTCTAATGTCAGACATAATAGAGTCCAAAGGTAAGACTGACAGTAACGGTTCACTATCTACCAGAATGACTAGAAAATAGAAATAACTTAAAAACTTATTTGCAGAGCTCAGACATGTAATTATTATGATCAATCATTAGATCCCTGATGCAAAAGAACTTAGCATATTATTCTCAAAGAAGATGCAATACAATATGCGATCTATTTTAAAGTGTCAGTCACAGTTCTTTCGATCTTAAATTAGAGACCATACTCGTTAGGTGTCATATTTTTCTCTAGTAAATCCTTAGATAGATTATTAAGTAGGATCAGTTTATTCAAATATATGATCATGCAACCATTCATTCAAGTTGTACAATAGTTAGGTCAAACTAGTTGGTATAATTGAGGCTGATTTACATAAGAATTGGTTCTGACTCTTTAATTTGTGTCCTACTTTAAGATGGCCTTGAATACTTGTTTTTGTCATAGGCCAATAAGAGTCTTGTAATCACTAGGACCAATCTAAGGCAGCCTAATTTTTCAGTTTACTTCTTCCACTGGAAAATCAAAACATCTAGAGATCCTTGTGATTATTTTCCTATCAAGAAAGGTTTTTGGACACAACTTAGATTGGCCTCAATCAAGGATTAGAGAAGCTAGCTTCTAGCATTTATTTCTGTTTTCAAATATACTATGAAGTCTTTATTTGGCTAAAAACAATAAATCTGTTCAGACTTGCTTAACTATTACAAATTTTACTGCAACCCCATATATGATGTTACCTCATTCCCATTGCTTATCAGAAGCAACACTAAGCTATAAATTTCTAGTAATTGAAGATCATGGCAAGAAATTCATCAAGCATCCCCATAGTTCCAGTTCTGAAAAGGCAAGTTCATAAAAGAAAACAAACTTACGTTGATTGAATATGCAGTTCCAAGGATAAAGCTGACAAAGAGAGCCCAAAACAATGGCAAGGAACCAACAATCCACGCAACGCCAAAGCTCTGAAACAAGATAGTGAAAATTAGCAACTTTTTTTGGTGCTTGAAGATTATATAGATACATTTTCCATTGTGTCTTTTAAAAACAACTCCACAAATAAGATACCAACTTCTTCTTGGACATTATATCGGATGCACTTTGGTGTCCATAACAAGTTCTGAGAGTAGTGTCAATTTTGATCTTACTCAATTGTCAGCCAATATTTTATCAGGAAAGATCTAAGTAAAAGATATCAACATATTTCTATCTAATATAAATAAAAGAAGCATCTCTTTCGTTGATTGAGTTGAAAGATATATTGGAATGTGATATCTACAAGCTGAACATAAATAGTCATATTAGAAAACACTTGATGACTTCATCACCATGGCTTAATACTTATAAAAAAATTATCACTAAATTTGTTTAAATCTAGACGAAGAAATTCAAATATATTACAAAAACAAATCTAAAGGTTTCAATGAGATCAATGTATCTGGCCGTTAAAATCACTTCCCATGACTTATATCCTTCAGGTTTAAATTAAAAAGAGAAAGAAGGTGGTTCTCTAAAGTCTAAACCATATGAAGTACTGAAGGATCTACCATGGCAGCAAAAGTCCAAATAATTGCAACTCCAGTCCTCAAGGAATATTCCCCAGATGCTAGAGGGAGATTTGGCTTATTAACCTGAAAAAAAGCATAACAAATAAAATTTTCAATTCATCTGAGTTATATTTTAATGGAAAATCAGCATAACATGGTGTTTCATTGTCCTCCGGGGACAAAGGATAAAGTTCAAGAGAATGAGGGTTACCTTGTCTATTTCTATGTCAAAGACTTGATTTAGTCCAACAATGTAAATATTCATAAAAAGTGCAGCAACAACTGCCTGCATGTAAGAGATGAAGAGTGAGACAGCAAACTTATATGGTACAATGAGAGCACATACTAAATAATGAACTAACAAGTTGTTCACACTATTACCTGCAATAATCCAGTCAGAAACACAGGAGAAATATCGGATGAGCTCTCAACACACAACAAAGATACTGAGATTATACTCATTATCTGTTAAGGCATAAATGCTCGTCAACTACCATCATATAGAAACAGAACAAGTTGTGAATTGACAAGATTAAAAACAAGATAATTGCAAGGATGCATACAAAACTCAGCCAGTAGATCACCTCAAAGAATGTGACTTAACTGTTCCTATGACTGTGTGGGGCCGTGAAAATCTGTAGAAAGCATCTACCGAAGCCAATGCTGATTTCCAACTATTTGTAGGATTATAAGCTTCAGGCTGGGATCCAAACGGGTGCCCTGATGTGGCATTAACATGACATGGATAACTAGTTCCAGGCACAAACTTTCTGTCACTGTGTCTAAGATGATGGTCACTGGGATCCCATTTAACTCCTCCAACATTACATCTAACCGTGATGTTGCGTGTTTTTTGGATAAAGTGCTGGCTTGGAACACAACAACCTGTCAAGAGAAATTGTGTGTGTCAGACATAATAAGAACAAAATCAATCATTGATCAAGCAGGATGTCTGATCTATTATTATTATAACATGCTTCCCTAAAAGGAACCAAAAGGCAGACCTCAGCAAAAGATGTACACTTATAACCTATTTTGTTAATGTTCTTTCAGGAGTTAAACACCAGAAGACAGCAGCTCAGTCAGGCTGCTGATTGTGATGAAACTTATAGCTGAGGCAATGCACACTTAAGTGGGACAGGAAGCGAAGAGCTAGCCTTGCCTTGGTACAATGGTATGATTGCTCCTTTATGACCTAAAGGACGAGTTCACAAAAACAACCTCTCTAAATATAGAGGTAAGCCTTGCATGCATTGAAAGATGCATTAGCAGGAGCTTCGTGCACTGCATACATCCTTTAATTTCAAAAGTATGTATTAACAAGCTCATCCATTTAAATTTTCTATGATATTTTGAATTCCTTAAATGGGCAAAGAAATTAAGAAAGTACCCTTATTTGCATAAACTTGGCAATCAGAGTTTGAAACACAAAAGCAAATTTAACCATCCTGAACTGTCAATATATTATGACTAGGGAACCACACAGGTTGAGTATGAAACACTGATACTCCAGTCCTATGAACAAGCTAATGGTTTAAAATGAAATAACACGATGACAGAGCCTGAAAACCATCCCGGATATCACTGACAAACTCGAGTTATTTGCAAATTATAGTTATCCCCTTTTGTATTGCCACTGACTGACTATCTACAATTAAACCAAAATACAAGACCATCCCTGCCAGCAAGACTTGCACATGATCAAACCCCTGTCACTAGAAGTTACTACTTAGGCAACTCATCTTGTGGAACTATGCCTTGATCGAATTCATTCATCTGTCTCCCAAGCTGCTTTACTTTGACTATATAACCAGCATCTACTCATTGTGTGATAGTGTGTGTGAAACTGATATGAGCTGACACATTCATATTCAACAAACTAAGTCCCAGTACACAAAGCTAACTGACCGAATAAAAAGATCAAGCGTAGTTAGTTTCCCATGCATAAACATACTTTGAGATGCATGCCTCTTCTCAGAAACCAGGTACACCTCAGATTCTCTGTTCTAAGAGGAAACTTTTTATTCATAGATTATAAGTGTGCATTGTTTGAAACTTATAGCCAGCTCAGAAACTTATAGCAGCTCTGTCACGGACTTAGCTGGTTTTGCCTAAGTCGTACGGCACCATTGCGTGTCCGTCCGCAAAGGTCAGCCTCCCCGAAGCCTCCCATGGTCTCTTAGGACCCACAAAAGAGAAAACGGGTGAGAGAAAATGCCTCACTCGGGATCCACAAGCAAGCATTCCAGGAAATACTTCATAGACAATGCAAATTACAAACAGACTTTACAAGCTCTGAACAGTTGCACAACAAAGGGTCAAAATGGTCCATTACAGACCGAAAATCTCTCACAAGTGTCCACATGACACAACCTCTATTTACAAGCCTAAAGCGGCCACCAACCCAACTAAAATGAGACTATTAAGCCTTCGGCTGTCCCTCTACATGCTATACAAAACATGAACATACCAAAAGACACAGACATACATAAGCATTACATCAAACATTCTGTTTCGAAGTTTGTCCGTGACATTCTCCCCAACTTATTCCTTCGACGTCCTCGTCGAAACCTTTGCCGACACTGCAACTCCTTGCCTTTGCTGAGTCTTCAATCTTCTGCTCCAGTTGCAATGTGCCCCCTGGCTCCCAGCTGCTCTCCACTGTTGTTTTTGAGTAGTCGAACATTTGATCCGCCATGCTGCTTCAACTCACCAATGAGTTGGCTGAATCTGGTGTGGGGTTGGCTGAGTTGTATTGATCCTTGTTGATTCCTGCGGATCCTCCATATGAAGGAAAAGACCATCCTTACTACGCCAGTCTCTCAAATGCCTCATGCTGCTTGAATTGGGTGGATGCTTGTTGGAGTTTTAACGAGCATCGTCTCGCAGACTTCTGAAGTTTTGGTTCCTTCCTCCACAAAATTTGCTCATTGACTCTTCTTTCACTTAGTTGTCGCTTCCAAGTAGGTTCGTATCACTTCCGCTTTCGATTGGCATTTCGTTGGGAAATGAAGCGGACAATCTACTCTCAGTAACACTGATCACCGTTGGTGAGGATTTGACAACTATTGTCTTCCATTATCTTCGAAGGGTCTTTGAACATGTGCAGAGCTCCTCTGCTCGGTAGATAAGAGAATTGGGATACTCGGTTTCGCCCATTCTCTTAAGAGTTGAGAAGGCAAAGGTTACTTAACTTCGCCCGCCTCCTCGAGGTTGTACTCCATGCATCGAGTTGGTTACTGGTCTTCGTCTGCTCTTTGCTCACACTTCTGAAGCACTTGAAGTGTTTGCACTTCTTGCGTTGAGTAAGTTACTGTGATTCACCTTCTTAATGCCATCGAACTTCTGGAATGCAGGAAGTTTTCACCCCAACTTAGAGTAATTCTCTCATAGGTTTGGTCGCCTCTGGGATTGTACCGTCTTCTCCATCAACCCTGCCGCCTACTCCACTGAGTAGCAAAGGTACAGCACCGCGTACTGCCTGCTTCGTTCCTTGGTCATGCACTCTTGCATGACCCGAAGTCCTTCACTTTCGACTATCTTGATGAGAAGCTCGTTGACACCGATCTTACGAAGTTCCTTGGCCTCTGCCCTTCAGCCTTGTCTCGGTACTTGGAGTTTGCCTCTGCATGCTCCACCTCCTCGACCCCTTTCACGACCAAGCGCTCTCCCTCCATGAGAGCAAGGGATCAATAACTTTCACGGAAGTCCCACCTCTGCGGTACCATGACGCTGCCATGCCCATGGCACTACTATCCGTCGCCTCGCATCTGCATCCCTTTTTTGTCACAATCAGTAGATATGTCTCTGTGGCACTCCTTCGAGTCCACCTCCATTCTAACTGATGCTTGATTTTGGGTAGCTAAGTCCCTCTGGACTCGTCGTTGCTTCCTCGCCCCTTTCGACCCCCTGCTTCAACACCTCTGTGTTCTCCAAGCAGCTCCTTTTGGTCGATGAAAAGACAGACTGCAACTCCCATGCATGGCCTCTGCCATCACGTTGTAGGGTTTGCACCGATTCTGTTCTCCTTAACTTTCTTGGTAGCAACGTTCGCTTACTCGACCTTGTCCTCTAACTTATCGGGCTCCCTTAAGCGAATATGAGCTCTGGAGCAGTCCAACTCTCCAGCTACTTCGATCATACCTCTGCATGATCAAGTCCCTCCCATAGGACTTACTGGTACTTGCATTCGAACTTTTTCCATTGGTGGAACACAGCCCCCATATGCTGATGACCACGGCTTTCATCCGATGCAAAATTCGATGCACGCACGGAAGACCCGCCTCTGCGGTACCATGGCCTTCACTCCTTAAATCCATAGCCATTCTTACCGTCGTGTTGTTCACCGAAGTGGAGCTTCCAGTAGCTCCCGATCATACCTCCGTATGATCTAGTCCCTCACGGGACTAGCTGTCGTGTGTCTCGCATTGCCACGAACTGTTCCACCACAATCCGCTGTAACATGTCGCCTCCTGGTGACATCTCTATTGCATTCTGATCCTTGTGGGATGAACTCGAATTGTAATCCCTCCATGTGTGGCCTCTGCCAATACATCGCAGGGTCTCTTCCACTTTCGATTTTGTTCGCTCCTTTGGCAATCGACCTTCATCCACCCACTCTTGGGTCACACCTAGATGAAGCACTGTTCTAGGACAGTCCGTCGCCTAGTAACTCCCGAAGTCCCCCGGCTTCGCTGCAATTAGTCTGCAATTAGTGCACCATTGTCTGGATCCTGGGCCTCTGCCCCTACCAGCACAATCTTTGCTGCGCACCGCTTCCTTCATGGCAACTTGAATGGCAACACTATGGCATATTCTTCAAGAGTACCCGCCTCCGCGTCCTCTTGCCTCGTGCCAAGGCCTTCTGAACCCAACTTCGCCTCCGCAAGTTGAGTCGCCTTAGTTCCTCCATCAAATGCTTCTCAGAGATAAGGTGCATGTGCCCAGAAGCTCCCTTCGTCTTTGGCACCATGTAAGATGAGTCCGCTCAGTCAGAATGAAGGATCCATGGAACAACATGATCCTGCTCTTGCCTCTCCAAGAGTTCATGTCCTTGATCTCTGTCCAAGGAAAGCTTTGTGCCTCCGCTCCATGTTCCATCTTCTATGCTGGCTCTCTTCATGCGGCTTGGGTACTTCACCAAGTTACACCCAAGTTGCTCCGCTCCTCGTTTTGCATTGAGTTGATAGTAGCCCTCACGCCCACCATTCCACGGGTCAACCCTCCCTTGAGTCCGATCTCCATATCGACTCCAAGTGTGCCTTCATTTGTGTTGCTTTGGGTTGCTCCCCCACTTGATCTCGCAATGCATTCTCTCAAGCGAGATCATGCGACGACTCTTCGTCGCTTGCTTGGTCCATTGAGCTTCGTGGAGTTGTTGTTTGTTGAGGTACTCCTCCTCAACATGTGCGGTCCGTCCCGCATGATTCTCCCTCTGAAGAGCCGGGACTTAGCCCTCCTGGATAACTGTCCCGTTGGAGCAACATCTCTCTTCGTTTCAGAGACTACCATCCCCTTCGGACTACTCCGATATGCTGAACAAACTGTGCATTGTTCTGCCTCCTGCAAACGCACTTGCTAGATTGCGACTCCACATCAATACAGCCCCCGCTGCACCTCTCAAGGCCTAGCAACATGCTGAACTTGTTGCACACTTCAGCGTCCTATGGACGTATCCTTCACATGTAGAAGAGAAAGTTTCAATGCTCCATAGCGCCGAGTTTCGGTCGCCTTAGGATGGCCGCGAACATTCCATCGTCCGCATACAAGCCCATGCATGAGTATCGAATTATTTGAGTTAGCAATTCCCCTCACCTCTATGAGCTTTGCACAACTGTTTCGATCATTGAGCAACTCATTCCACCTTGCATGGTCTCATCCTTTGCCAAGCGCCTCACTTGCCTTGAGCACCATCAAGTATAGTTGTCAACGTTGAGCCATAGCTCAAACTCACCGATCCCAACCTTTGAGCGCTCCGCATTCTTCCAAGCTTGCCTGTTCTCGTGGTGCCTCTTGCGCAAAGGGTTGGTCATTCCTCTGAATGTCAATCTCAGATGCTCGCTTCTCCGAGCGACTCCTTTTCCCTACATCTCCATGCTTGTTTTCTCTCAAACGGTCGCGCGTATGCTGACTGCCCTCAACGCAGCCCCGCTAGGTCCCCCATGTTTGCATGCTAAGTGTTTCTATGAGTGCTTGTCCTGCTCTGATACCATCTGTCACGGACTTAGCTGGTTTTGCCTAAGTCGTGCGGCACTCTTACGCGTCCGTCCGCAAAGGTCAGCCTCCTCGAAGCCTCCCATGGTCCCTTAGGACCCACAAAAGAAAAAACGGGTGAGAGAAAATGCCTCACTCGAGATCCACAAGCAAACATTCCGGGAAACACTTCATAGACAATACAAATTACAAATAGACTTTACAAGCTCTGAACAGTTGCACAACAAAAGGTCAAAATAGTCTATTACAGATAGAAAATCTCTCACAAGTGTTCACATGACACAATATTTATTTACAAGCTTAAAGCGGCCACCAACCCAACTAAAATGGGACTATTAAGCCTTCGGTTGTCCCTCTACATGTTGTACAAAACATGAACATACCAAAATACACGGACATACATAAGCATTACATCAAACATCCTGTTTCGAAGTTTGTCCGTGACAGCTCGGTACACCGTACCGTACCGTACCGAGCCTAGGTCGAAACACCGATACGGATCTGAAAGCTGGCTCTTAACCCCTTCAACATGTTTGATAAACAGGTTTTCATGTCAATGATCTATCACTCTTTAAGTATTTTTGCCCTCCCAGCAACGTAAATCCTGTATCCTCTTGCTGATTAACTACCTAACCTGATCCTGTTTCCAAACTCTCTTTCGTGAACTCCCAAGAGTCAGACTTCCTACAGCACAAACAAGTTCTCTGTAGCACGGGCATCCAACTGGACCACACAAAAACACAGCATACCATGTAAATCGAGAGGTACTCTTTGCAGTCATGCTAGGGTTAGATGTAACATATAAGTTACCACCACTTGTCAACCTTTAGTAAAGGGACACTGAAGTGATTCCGTAGTAACGGGACCATTGGGAGCCATTCAACAGATTCGTGAATCTAAGGTAGAGAAGCATCATCCCGACTTCATCTCTGGTCAAGTGCTAATGCTCTACCAAAGAAGAACGCGAAAACAAAAGAAAAAAGAGTTCTTTTTAGAGACAATAACGCACTCATAAAGAATCAAGCCGAAAACGCGCTCCACAGACATTCCCTCAAAAAAGAAGAAAAAACACAACGAGAGTGATTACAGTTGCTAGACGCCTCATTCCTTCGTTTACCGTTCCCCACAAGACTTTCTCGTCGTAAAACTCATTCTTTGAGAGAAACATCGAGATTTCCACCAAGATCGACGGGTCACAAAGGCATACCTGCGCGAGGAGCGGGCAAGGAGAGGCGAGGAGGGGAGGAGAAAGGCCGGAGAAGAAGCGAATCCATCGCCGTCGCCGTCGCCGTCGCCGTCCACTCCCCGGCGAACCTAGGTAGAGCTCTTGCTTGGATCTACGGAGAACTACCGCCTCTTTCTAGGCGCCAACACGAGATATTTTCTGCCGTCGACGCTGCTTCCCTCCCCGCTGTTATTATTATTATTATTATTATTATTATTATTATTATTATTATTATTATATATATATATTATATATTAGAAACCTACTATTCACATCACCTTATTTACTAGTCACTATCCCTATTATTAATAATCCCTTAATATATATATATATATATATTATTTTATTATTTGTAATCTCAATATTATGGCTTTTGTTTTACTCACAACCTCTTATTTCATCTTTCTTTCTATTCATCACCTCTCGAGGGAAAATAATATATATATATATATATATATATATATATATATATATATATATATTCTTTATTAAAAAAAATAATTTAATTTTTTTAGAGGTGGTTATAAATAATTATCTCTTAATTTTTATTGGATAAATTCTCAAAAAGAACCTATAATTTTAAGAATTTTTTGGATAATGTCTCAACTATACAAAGGTAAGTGATGAATGTGAGATTTAAGCTCAATTTTACAATTAAACTACTAAGATCTTTACTATCTAAATTATTTTATGTGAGTATAATTATATCCTTACCAAAAAAGAGTTGAATATGATAGACTACTCTGTATTTGGAACAAGTCTTTATACTAAATCTGCTAGTGATCCTTACAAGTCAAATGCTTGTAAAGAAAGTTGTGACAATGCTTGAGACGGACCGTTCATTCTAATTCAATGGCAATACTTCAAACTGCAAGGTATAGCTACGTGCAAGATGCGTATCCCAGTGGAGTTCCAAATACTTCAAACTGCGTTTGATTGAGACTATCCATGATGTGATTTGATGTAAAAGTTCACGTTTCTCTATGGAACAGATGCGTGTAATTAAGATACTCTTCTCCGTTCTACCGAGATAGGATGCGTTTGGTTGCTGCTGGATCGAGACATGTGAATTGTGTCCGCTTTTGATCGAGACGGATGAGATACAGCCACCATTTCAATGGGGGGTATTTGTATGGTGAAGAAGGAGGAGTAAGAATTCGGGAACTGCGACCGAGTTGATTTGATGTGGTCTGAGCTGAACTGGCACATCATCTTGCTGAGTTGACTTTTGCACGCCAAGGAGTTTTGGTTGTAGCTTTAGATGCGCTCAGGATATCTGCATTTGAAGCAGCATCCGGGACATTGACTGCAGGGACAGAGCTTGGATTAATCTCGTGGAAGTTGGACGAAGAACGCACGCTAACTTTCACAACCAGAAAAGGATCGGTTTGGAGTTTTTGATCTCAATTCTTCACCAAAGTTAATGGCGGAAAAAGAAGGAAAGATTTCTAAGACTATACCAAGACCAACCAGATCAACATCTGGTCTCGAGCTTTTCTTTGTTGGCGGCTTTAACATGTCAGGAGATTGAAGGGAACATATCTCACCATTGTCATGATACTTCAGCTAAATCAGACCAGAAGGTTTCGAGAGCTCTCTCTTGATGCATTCTTGTGAGTCCCATTGTCTGTGTGTGTGTGTGAGAGAGAGAGAGAGAGAGAGAGAGAGAGAGAGAGAGGTTTTCTTGATCATCATCTGGTCATCAGATAAACAAACATTCCTCAGTCAACTCCTAGTTTGAGAAAATTTGAGATTGCAATGGCTTTATAGGAAGAAGATGTCACTTATGCAAGTGATCAATCAGTTCCCTGGCTTTCACCATGTGATACAAGAACAAAGAAGTGCTTTTCTCAGCTGCAATCTGCATTTCTCTGAGATCTAAACCAGCAGTTCAACCATTATTTCGGATTACGATCACCATCTCGTTGTTAATTAGCTTTCTTAAAAAAAAATGTCACAACGAGATCGAACAGATGAATTATCACTCCTTGAAGAATTACTGCAACAACTCAAGAAGAAAATGATGTTTGTTCCCAATGATCCATTGGAAGGATGGCATTGATCTATGCTTCTTCTTGAAAAGATTGGCTGCAGATTGAGAAAACAGATGGATTCGATATAGAATTTGTAAGCCTCCTGCATTGACACCAACTGTTTGGGTATGGAAAGAGGTGTTCGATTTGCGATATATATATATCTGTAAACTCTGAAAATGCCTAAAAGCTTGCTTCCTCTGTCGTAGGCCTCCTCAAGAAATAACGCAAGCTGTTTGAGAGAACCTATTTAACACATCAAAGAGGAGATTGCCATCAGTTCAGCTCTCAAATTGTGACAACACTGTAGAAATGCAGATGTCAGCCAAGTAGTGAATTCTGTATTAGACATGTATCGGAAAATATGGAGTAGAAACATAACATTAGAGAAGATCACCAGTTGCAAAGGCTTAATGATTGGTTTCCCTTTGTAGCTGATATGGAACTTTGCTTTAGCCAACAGTCCCTAGTGAGAGAAAGAGAGTTCATATCATAGAGTACATGGTATATGAATACAATTATTTGAACTGAAAATATTATACCTCAGTGTCGAACTCTCCAGACTGGACTGCGATGTCTATGTCTGTGATGATCTTGACGAGATCAACCAGCAACCCAGCATAGTCGGCTGTCTCGACAACAAGTAAGCTGAATGGAAAGTAGTGAATGCACATCAATTATGGAGTGTTTTCTTAGAGATAGCTTTCTAGTTTAATCTTTGATTGCCTATGAAGAGACTTCAAATGTTTATTGTATTCTTCACATGCATCACAAAGTGTGCTTCATACTATGATTTGCTTTGTTTTGGTATAATGGCTAAAAGTTAAGTTGATCCTTCAATTATCCAGTGTCAAACAATGTAAATTAAGGTGCTAAACAAAGAGAGATATTGTGTTTATTCTCGGTTCTCTTCTCTCTTTAGGATTTGGCCAAATAACTGATACTTAAACAGAGTTTTTTACAACCTCACTTCACAGAAGTAAAGCAAAATTACACTCATGACAATTCTGCTTTCAACATTGTTTGGCCACATTATTCGAAACACTCCTATGGGAGACAATCTACTATCAAAGAAGTAATGTATTTCACTTTTAAGGCAAGCAAAAACAAGATAAAACAAGTTAAATTTCTCAAAATGCAGTCTGAAGTAATTTTTGCATGTCGAGGAAATATCCGCTACTAACCAAAAGAAATGAGCTAATATTGAAGAAATGGATCAACGATGCTTCCATACAGATAACAAGTGATATTTGTGGTTAAATTGGAGTTAGATATCATGAATTTTATGTAATTTGGCTTTGAAAACAATAAGATATATGACTGTTCTTGGTTGGCCATTGTTAGTGCCCAGAACAGATTTTAGCGGAGGGAAATAATCCATGAAATTGACCACAAGTAGTTGGAATATTACGACTTGTTGTTGATATTGTTGTGAAAATTAATAGGACTAAGGAGACGGAAATTAGATAATCCAAAATATTAGCAACCTAGTATCACAACATGGACGTATGTCTTCCTTTACCATAAGAGCGCAAACTAGTGTCTCTATGCATCACAAATCCAATGAAACAGTAACTCAAATATGCATACCTTCGATCAGGTCCATCATCATAAACATCGATATGGGTAGCAATATCCACATCAACCTGAACACGTAAAGCAAGCATAAGAATTGTGGTTTTTGAGAACCAGAAACTCGGAAACAAATAATGAGAGACTGAGTATCTCATTGACAAAATACAAGTTACCATTAAGACCATGATATATGCTACAGAATATAATTATGCAGCTTAACTCAACCCTTTGTTTGCCTCTAATAGTCAGCAAGGACACAACAAATGGATCATGATAATAAACAATATCTCTGGGGAAGCATGGCAGAAGATGAAATTGTGTGATTGTGCTATTCAGACAAAAAAGAGGAAGTTGGGTGTGTAATGCTAGACAGGAGAACTGCAAACCATAAGTGAAGAACTTGAATGAACAGTTCAAATTAGTCATGAGTAGTGTAAACATCCTCTTTGCATGGTCAGAGAGCACAACAAACAAAAAGAGAGTGAAAATTTTCCAGAATATATAGGCACTTGGCACAACGATAGAAAATAATGTTTTTTGGTCCATCTACGTAGAATCCATAATTTTACATATGAAATGAGAGTACCTCTTGTCCAGGAGGCTCAACTCCAAATGCTGCTCCCATTGCCAATTGGCTGCTAGACTCCTGAAAGAACCAATAGAAGTATCTATCAGACGAAACAGGGAAATTATTTCGATATATTTCACTCGACTAATCGAAGATGAAAATTATAGTGCAAAGCACCAATTAATGGTTACCGGGTGATACTCAAGCATATTGTTTATAATTGTCAAGCGTATTGCTTCTAGCAACTCTGGATCATCGACTTTGCGGCCGGTAGACCTACATAGCCCCCATGCACTGAACTTAGCATCACTGATGCATATAAACTACTGCAAGAACCAAAGCTAATGTTGATGTGTGACCAACAGCAATGCTTCATCAACCACAGCTATTGTAGTTTGCAAACAATGGCAAAAAAAGCATAGAAATAATCTAATAATATTCAGAACACAATTTCAAATACAAAATGATAATGGTATATGAGAAAGCTTACGCTCTAGTTATCGCAAACTTGTTGTGCTTCCCGGAAGAATCCAAATATACGTTAGCCTTGACAACATTTAGTCCTAGATTCTTAAGGGACTTCATCTTCACGATAGATGGAAAAAAAAATGTCAGCTTTCCGTGAAATAACACGAAGAAGAATGATACTGCCTATCCAATGCCTGCAGCTATGTCCTGATTATTTAAGGGCAAAGCGGATACAGTAACATACAGTGTCAAGAAGAGACCCGAGTCGGTCGCCAAAGGTTATCTCAACAATAGTTGCATCCGGATCTGAGTCCTGATCTATGATAACTTTGGGAGTAGGAACTGTGTCGGTCTCATTAGAATTCCCATCCTGTTAACCCAAAAATTATGTGATCACAGATGCAATTTGATAATTGAACTGAACTGAGATTTCTTACCTCAACAGTTTTTGGAGATGCTGCTCTAGGAGCAGTTATAGCAGCATCAGAATGATATCTAGAAATCCAAAATATCAAAATCAGCAGCATTGAATCAGAATCTAATCTGGAACAATTTTAGCAGTAAAATGCCAAAGCTATTACATTTAATTCTTAGAGCCAAAAGTAGACACTTATAAAGTACCAAACACCATATAGCTCAAAAGGCAAGAAGAATAGACTTGATGCTTACAAATTGAAGCCAAAGATGCAACCAATAGAACAGTAGATGTCAAATAACCAGCAGTCATGCACAAAAGCAATTCTCTTAAAAATTGGAATCAAGGAGCGCTACATTCACCGTGATATTTGCATGAATCATCAAACAAAAACATAACTTTCGATCCTAATAATCACAGCAAGAAGGTTTTACGCCACTGACTGCAACAGAAACCGAGGAAAAACCTGATCTTTGAGGGGATTGGAGCCGCGAAGAGGGAGCAGCGGAGGGAACAGCACCGAGGGACCGGCAAGCCGCACTCTACCGCCCTCGTGCTCGGGATCAGTCGCAGGATCCCAGAAGCCACGGCGACCGCCATCGTTCCTCCTCTTGTTTAAGAAGAATAAGAGAACCAGCAGCTCGGTAACCCCGCAAGACACTACCTTTGAAGCTCTACACCTCTTTGCTCAGGCTTATTGGCTGTGCACTAAAGGGGAGCAGAGGAGGGGAGGGTGGATGTCCATGTCTCCCAGGAACCATCATCCAACCATACAAATATCACCCCTACCTGTCTCTGTCTGCCCCTTCCCCAAAATCCTCACCATTTCCATTTCCATTTCCATTTCCATAATTAAAGGGAAAAGGGAGAGGAGGGAGAGAAGCCACCCACCATTGTCCACAGATTCTTCTTGCATGTGGGGAGAAGATAATGATAAGAAATAGTTGGCTTGAAGATGATAAAATGACTGCACTGCAACAACAAAGCTTGTCTTATTAGTCTGTCACTGCAACTTGCAGGTGCTTTCTGTAGCAGATACTGCAATCCATGTTCATTCCATGCATTTATTTCCATCCTTTTGATATCTTGGAGAGATTTTTCATTCCAAGTAAAGAGGAAAGAAATCTTTGATGGCTGTTAGAGGAGTATATTTCAAGATAATTATTAGTTTAATGATTCAACTTTGCTGGTTTATCAAAGAAGGTGAGTAATATCTAAATATGTGTTTTCATAATAAAAAAGTGAGTTATAAAAATAAAGTGAGTTATGAGTAAAGTATTAATGAAAATAAATAATATATAGGGTGAATTTAAAAAAAAATATTTTTGTCATTACATTTTGAAAACTTTTTAGTACCTGAAATACCTTTCGTTATTTATCTTTTTTTTTTCTTCTGGATCTATTTATAGGGTGAATCAATTCAGTTATAATATTTTTTATTAAAATTATATAAAAAATATTATAATTTTATTTATATTATAATATTTTTAATATTATTAAAAATATTATAGCACTGAACCAATTCATGAATATATATATATATATATATATATATATATATATATATATATATATATATATATATAATTAGTTGTCAAGTTAAGCATATTCCAGATATTACTAAAAAATATATAGAATTCTCAAAAGTCCTAAGGGATTTTTTTTAATTCATCATAATATATAATAATCATATGACAACATAACTTATTTATTTCATGATCTTCAAACAAATTTTTTTCTTTATTTTTTAGTTTTTTATAAAGAAAAAGAAGAAGCTTATTTCATTTATATTTGTCATAAACTAATACAAGTCTTGCTAAGTACATATTACCTCTTATAATTAATTATTTTTTAAAAATTATATTAAGATTTATATATTTATGATAATAAAATATTTAATTTTATTTCATATAAAAATCATATGATATTTTTAATAATAAAATAGAAAAAATAAATATTTTTTATAAATACAGAAAATATAAAAATAATTTTTAAAAATATAAAGGGGATCGAGATTAGCCCTAAACTAATACGAGTCTTACTTATTAACCGCATCAAAAAATTTCGACTTCACCCTCGTTGGGCTCAACGGAAGTCGATCGCGCGAGTTGCCGCTCCGGATCAAAATCGAAACCCTAGTCTCGACTCTTGTTGCTAATTCTTGCTTCGATTCTCTCGCCATTCTTCCATTGCGACGAGGAAAGTTGAGATCTGCTCTGGATTCTCTGTGATTTTTCCTCTTCTTTCTTCGTCTGCCGCGATCGCTGCCTTCGAGAAGGGATTGGTTGCAGAAGGAGAGGAGGATAAGGAGTGGTGTGCATGCGCCGGTTGCTCCGCGGGGATATGTTGCCCCTACCGTCTAACTTGGTTTCTCGCCATCTCGTGGTCTCGTCTCTGCCTTCTTTGCCGCCGGCGCCGCTTCCATTGCGGAGGTGCTCAACACTCTTTTAATTTTGTCTCTTGTTGTTGCATCTTTCTATGAGCTCGGTTCAAAAGTCTAAACTCTATCAATTTCTCTGAAAGCGTCGGAAGTTATGAGCTTGAACCGCTTTTATTGTTATCAAAAGCTTAACTATGATCAACAAGGATTGGAACTTTTATGATGGAATGAATAGGAAATAGGAGTAACATTCTGTGCTTGCTTTAGGTTTCTATAAGTCTGTATATTGGGGTGATTTTTGAGTTGATCTCTCTATACAATGGATTCTGATCAAATTTATTGATTTGTGCTTGATTAGAAAATATGATTTTGAGTATTCTTTTGATGGAAACTAGGTCTGAAATTATTGGGGTTAGCTAGTCTAAATTGTGTTCAAGAGGATGCAGCCAGGAAGAAATCAAGTCAAAACTCTCCTTTTTTATCAGTAATTTGTATGATGAAAGTTCAAACCTCTAGGATGGGTTAGATGGAAAAAGTTGTGAATGAGCTGATTTTCATTAATTTTTATAAATATGTAGGCTTGCACAATAGATATTCTGATGGCTTGGTGGTACATTTTTTTTTGCATTAATGCATTTGCACATAGAAATATCTATCCCCTCAATTTTCACATTAGCGTTTTTTTGGCAGTGAGAGAGATTAATACAATATAAAATGAGCAATTGCAGTTCTGAGAATGATTTAGTGATGTTGTTGAGTTCTATGGACGTGCTTCATTGAAATGTATTTTTTTCATTACTTTGCAGGGAGGCACATCTTTGGTATATAGTGCCTAATGAGCTAGAGGATACTTCCTTACTGCAAGATTATATGGAGCTTCTATCTCCTTGTGAAAAAGAAAATGTTCTATCTATCAAAGGAGAAGCACTTAAAAAATGTGCTATACTATCTCGTGTGTTGGTCAGGACCACTCTTTCAAGATGTATATGCCCTTTTTCTTCCATAAAATTATTGTTTTTTACCTGGGAAAAATGCACCTGTTTGAGACATTTCTATTCTTTTAAGGGTCTTTCAGTTATGAGCTAAATGTATTCTGGTCTTGTTATAGGTCTATAAGGTGCTAATTCAGTCACTTACCTTCTCATTATATATATATATATATATATATATATATATATATATATATATATATATATATATAGT